CAATTTCCTCCTCTTCAGTTCTTTTTTTGCTGCGCGCCTCTGGGGGTTCCATACCCCGTCATTGAGGACGGCCCTCAAGATTATACTGGGCCGTACCTGCGCGAGGGGGGAATCGCGCAGGGCCAGCAGTTCCGACCTGGAGTATGCACCGCACATGAGTCCAAGGTCCCAACAAACAGAAAACACACGGGGGGGGGGAAGTCCTCCTGATGGTTAATTCCCTTTTCAAGACTTGGGATAAGCCAGACGACCAGCCGCTAAAGTCAGGTCCACGGCCGGGCTCTTTGGGCCGGATCCTCCACCGAACCACCGAACCGCCGAACCCCGGCCCCTACCTTCGCCGAATCCTCCGCCGAGTCTATAGGCCAAGCTCGTAGGCCAGATGCTCCGCCGGGCCGCCAGGCCGTCGGGCCGCCGGGCCGCCAGGCCGCCGGACTACGGCCTCCTCGCCGAGTCCGCAGGGCAAGCCACCGGCCGGATCTGCTTCCGTCGCGGCCTCCCCGGCCATCGCAGCCGAGTCCGGGTCCGGATGCATCTGTCATCTCCATCACGGCCTCCGTCGCGGCCTCCATAGCTGCCGCAGCCCCCGCAGCTGCTGCGGCCTCCAGCTCCCAAATCCGCAGCCTCCAAATTCAAATCCGTCGCGGCCTCCGCTGTTATCGAGGCCGCGACCGAATCCAGGCCAGGTTTTCCGTCGGGCCAGATCCAGGCCGAGTCCGGCCAGATCTTCCGCCTGGCTTCGCCAAGCTCCGCCAGGCTCCACCGAGCACCGGCCCTTCGCCAAGCTCCGCCAGGCTCCGCCGAGCACCGGCCCTTCGCCCCTCAATATCCTCGCCAGACTAAACTGCTGGCGAGTTCAGCTCTCCAAATTGGATCACCGGAGAGCCCTCGGCCTGCGGGAGGCCCCCCCATTTTCTGTTTAGGGCTCCGCTCCGTCACGGAGCCACCCCAGGTAGGTCCGCCATGTTGCGCACCGGACACAATCAGCAAACTCCCTTGCCCCTTGCAATGCCACGCCCTTGAGCATTGCGCCTGCCCAGATCACGGGAGTATAACATGCCCGGGCATGTCCCAAACAAGGCCTCAGAAACACGCATGCGCGGAATCGTGGTCCTGACATGCCTGAACAAGTTTTAAACCCCTACTTGCCGCCTGGCTGCTTGCCTCTTGTGAGCATTTTAATTCCTGTTAATATTCCTTGTTTTTTGCTATAGTGGGGACAGAATAAATTTTATTCAGGGTGCAAATGGCAAAATATGTGTCTTTAGATTTTTACAAAGGTAAAAACAAGCTGGGGGTTTTAAAAGGGCTGTAGTTTGTTTGTTTTTTCCCCTGCATTCGAGGAAATAATTTTAAAGCCACCTAGAAATAATACCTTTTAGAAAAAAATACCTTTTAGAAAAAAGGGGTTAAATACAGGCTCTGGCTGCCTTTTAGGGGCTCCTTTTTCCCCAGCTTTTGAGGCACTGATTTTAAAAACTCCACAAAAATTAAAAGCATCATTAGGCTAGAACGATTAGAAATAAAAAGCCTTTTTTATTTTTTATTTCACAGCTCCCCAAAGTAGGACTTGTTTCCCAAAAACACAGGCTTCTGCTAATTACTCACTTTACTTAGCTTTTTTTGGTTTTGAATGTCCATAGAATTAGTCTAGGGTTAACCTAATCATGTACCCAGAGGGTTGACTGCCACTCTTGATGGGATTAGGCCAGCACGTCACATCCGGAGGGTGGGGGCTGAGCACGTCACTTCCGTTTAGGGCCATGACCTGCTGACGTAATCCGCACGTGGGTTTGTTTACTTTGATGACGTCACTGATCAAAAGTGCGAATAATTTTCATTAAAAAATTATATAGTGTCACATCCACTATATATTATTATTAATTATTATTACTAACAAGAATTTAAATGTAGGTGTATAATTTGCTGACTCTTCAGGCTAATCAGGTCTGAATGATCAATGATATTCCTGTAGCTCCTGCAGTGGTGGCTCAAGAAGCTAGCTGAGCACCATGCTTTGATCTGAGGCAATCTGAAAAATTAAGCCACTGTCCTCTTTGATGCTATCTTTGACATCTTTCTCAGGAGGAGCCCTGCACAGGATCATATATATAGATCCCATATGAATTTCCTCTCCTTGTTCTGGAATTTTCCCAAGATTGTTGTTATAATATACAACCATGCTAATCTGGAGATTTTGCAGAAGTTGTTTTAATTCTAGCACACTTCTGTTTTCTTGCTCACTCCCTGGCCTCCTCTTACTAACTCCTCAGTCGCCTCACTCTGGTTAGTTACCAAGCCCCTCTTGTTTTCTACACACACACACAGAGAGAGAGAGAGAGAGAGAGAGAGAGAGAGAGAGAGAGAGAGACCATGTTCCTCCAGAATTGCCCCACCCAGGCCAAGAGGAATAGAGGAACAGAGGAATAGAACAGAGGAATAGAATCAAGATCACGTGAAGTATTAATACCACTTTACAATGCCTTGGTAAGGCCACACTTGGAATACTGCATCCAGTTTTGGTCACCACAATGTAAAAAAAGATGTTGAGACTCTAGAAAGAGTACAGAGAAGAGCAACAAAGATGATTAGGGGACTGGAGGCTAAAGCATATAAGGAACGGTTGCTGGAATTGGGTATGTCTAGTTTAATGAAGAGAAGGACGAGGGGGGACATGATAGCAGTGTTCCAATATCTCAGGGGCTGCCACAAAGAAGAGGGAGTCAAGCTATTTTCCAAAGCGCCCGAAGGCAGGACAAGGAGCAATGGGTGGAAGCTAACCAAAGAGAGAAGCAACCTAGAACTAAGGAGAAACTTCCTGACAGTTAGAACAATTAACCAGTGGAACAATCTGCCTCCAGAAGCAGTGAATGCACCAACACTGGAAGTTTTTAAGAAGAAACTGGACAGCCATTTGTCCAAAATGGTATAGGGTTTCCTGCCTGAGCAGGGGGTTGGACTAGATGACCTCCAAGGTCCCTTCCAACTTTATCATTATTATTATTATTATTGTTATTGTTGTTATTGTTGTTGTTATTATTATTATTATTATTATTATTATTATTATTATTATTATTATTAAGAGCCTCCTGCTTGGTGTGGACCAGGACCAGTTGCTCTAAACGGTGAACGTTCACCATCCTGCGCTAAGGAAGCCGGCGGGCTCGGACCAGCCAGCGAAGGCAGCAGCAAATGGTGGCGCCGCGCCGGCTCTCCTGAATCCAAAGTGGGAGCTACCGTAACTCCGTCCGCAAAGCCAAATGAGCTGGGCGGCTCTCGGAGCTTGGTGGCTGAAGCGGGCGAGGGTGGGGCGGGGTCTGGTTCCAGGCTGCTCCGGGCTGATATAAGGTGCCTCGCTGGGCTGATATAAGGTGCCTTTTCTGCTCAGCACCGGAGGCGAGCCTGCTTAGCGTGGTGCAGGGATGGGCAACCGGGTCACCCGCAGGGATTTCGAGTGGGTTTACACTGACCAGCCCCATACGCAACGGAGAAAGGAGATTTTGGGTAAGTTAGGACTGAAACGGTGGCTTAACGTTTCGAAAAACCGAAAAGGGCGCTTCTTCTGGCGAGGTGGAGGCGCTCGTCCACCTTTCTTAAAGAATTGCCGTTTATTCCCAGTTGGCGGCCGGTTCGATCGCTTGGGAGGACAAGTGAGCGCGGCTGGATTCCCCCCCCCTTTTTTTTCTTGTTTTCCCCATCCCCTCCCGCAAACTCTGTAATCGAATTTGTCTTCTGGTGCCTGTGAAGAGCCTTAATAATTTCCTCAGCATCAAGGAGGGACTGGTTTGCCGCGTCCCGTTCCAGGACACTTTTGCAGCTTCCCAACTAATACAGAATCCCGGATTCCTTATACATGGACTGACCAGCTTCAAACCTGCTTCGTTTTATATCCTATGACGGGCTAGGTAGTGCCGTTGCTCAGGATAAATTTTTCCGGTTTAGGTGTGTGTGTGTGTGTGTGTGTGTGTGAGAGAGAGAGAGAGAGAGAGAGAGAGAATCTGAGGCATTGAAATAGTGATGTTGAAGATTTTAAGCCCTTTTCCTATGTAGATTCTGGTTCCTTCACAGCTGAATCTTCAAAAGGATTGATCGTAATACATTTTTTGGTGGACTATGGGGTAGCCAAGAGAACTCTAGTGGGCACAAGGATTCCTCTTTGTTGGCAATATATAATTAAAAATATATAAATGAGTGACAACTGAGTCAGAGCTTCTCAGGGCGCGTTTTAGAAAGAAGGATTCCCGAATGTAGCAAGGCTGGTTTATTATCAGATTTTGAAAAAAAGCAAAACAGCAGATACATTATGCCCTAAGGAACTATAGCCCCATTTTTTTTTTCTTATTTCCTCCTAGGCCCTTCATTAAAATCTTACTTAAAATGGACCATTTTAAAATGGACCCAATTCTTTCTCCTGCATTCTACTCTCCCTCTTTTTGGACTATTTTTTGTCACAAATAAGTTCCTTGATACATTTTGAAACCCTACTTTTATTATGTGAGATGGTTACTGGGATCTAGTTTAAAAACACCAAAGGGACTAGATGAAATAATGATGGAGTTTGCTACCGTTTTAAAATAAATAACATGATTTCCTTTTTATTCAGTCTTCTTCCTCCAGATAGCTTGTTATTCTATGTCAGTGGTGGTGAACCTATGGCACGGGTGCCAGAGGTGGCACTCAGAGCCCTCTCTGTAGGCACGCGCGGCATCGCCCCAGTCCTAGGCCTTCAGCTGGGTTTTATAAAACCTTTTTGCTTTAGGCCTCTGCCGCCGTGTACAAAAAAAAAAAGATTCAATCAATCAGTCAACTTCAACTTCTTGTGGGAAAAAAAAGATCTTGCAAAGTTGGAATTGATTGATTGAACGTTTTAGTCCCACCCAGTCTGCTGTTACCACCGCAGCCACACCCACCCAATGGGCCACACCCAGCCAGCACCCGACGATGCATAAGTGGGTTTTGGGTTGCAGTTTGGGCACTCGGTCTCTAAAAGGTTCGCCATCACTGTTCTATGTGGTTCTCTATCCATTTCGTTTACTGCACAGAAGTTCTGGGGGGAGGGGTGATTCATCTGAATATTCATGGTCACCCAGCTAGGGATTAGACAAGGGGTCCCCAACCCCCAGTCTGTGGACTGGTATTGGGCCGTGGCATGCCAGCAACCGGTCCGCACAAACAAGCAAAGCCCCATTCCTGGGATGCAGGTAGCACACAAAACCACACACTCTCTGGTCTGTGGGAAAACCTTTCTCCACAGAACCAGTCCCTGGTGCCCAAAAGGTTGGGGACCTCTGGATTAGACTACAGGTCCTTCTCTGACTACTGGTACCATAGCTTCCTTTATCTTTCATAGCAGGTTAGATGCACTGTGCAATCAAAGTTTGATTGCACACTATGCACTGTGCAATCAAAGTCCTTTCTGAACTGGCACCAAGCCTGATTTTTTTTTTTATTGACAGAAGGAGGGTTGTATAAATTCACTTCACCTACCACCCATTTTTTTTGTTTATGAAATCAATTCTCCTTTGGGTACACCAAAAGGTATTGTGTAAAATTCCTATCTGGGGCAACATTGTTAAACCATGTTGTTTCCCAAGAGACAACTTGTTCCTTTTTAATTCCATCTGTCTTATTTAGTAAGCAGAGGCAGATGTCAAAATATTTATTTTGAAATGGGTTGACTTGAATTTAAATTTCTGCATGGCGTTTAAGGCATATTCTGTACCTATTGTGTGTCCAATCACTTGTCTCTCTTGGCTATATTGGAACATCTTTTTATTTCTTACAGGCTTAAGTGAATGTAGCAGAGGGTTTGTAATTCTGGAAGGTTGTGTGCTGTTTGACTCGTGAAATAAGCTAATTTAGATTTCTCCAAGTATTTCACACATCATTCCCTTCCTCTCTTGCTGACTGGAAGTGGTAGGAGTTTTAATCCATCATCTCTGGAGGGTGATAGGTCAAAGAAGACCAAGCTAAATACTTAGAGCTGTGTGTGGTGGATGATTGTGTAATGCACAGGTTACAGTACTTGTTCCATCCCTTGGGGCACTTTCTTATATTCCCTTCCCAGCATGGCTAACCTGGTAGTGAACCCCTTCCTGAGACAGGAAAGTATATCAGAGGCTCCTCTTCACTTTATCATTACCTCAGACTAAGAAGCAATGTGTAAGGAAAACTTCCTGTGGAGACCATAACAACCCAGCAGTCACTTCTTCCCCAGAATACTTCTTCCCCTCTATCCCAGATAGTAGCTAGTATTTGGTGCCCCAAATCCATGCATATTCCTTACAGGGCAATTTTGATGTTGTCCCTGCTTTTAGGGGATATATTCCACATTATTTATTATCAATTATCATTAATCTAATAATGTTGGTTGAGTGCCACAACTCTCCCTTCTAAGGTCCGAAAGTTATGCTGCTATTTTTGGCACCTGTTTGGTCCTTGTGGTCCAGATAGCCCTGCAACGTGCAATGCAATACAAGATAACGCTAAGACAGCTTCATATTCTTAGGCCTTTTGGCTAGCCCAGGGATAGGCAACCTCGGCTCTTTTATGACTCATGGACTTCAACTCCCAGAATTCCTGAGTCAGCTATGCTGACTCAGGAATTCTGGGAGTTGAAGTCTATGAGTCATAAAAGAGCCGAGGTTGCCTACCCCTGGGCTAGACAGAGGGAAGATGAGAAGAGCTGTGCTCAACAATTAGTTTTACAGCATAAGAAAGAATCAGATTCAATACACCAGTGTAAGATAGCAACTTTAGGAGTTTCTACGCTTATTCACCTGCCTATCTTATTAAAGTAGTGCTTAAATCTGGCCTCATTAAATTATGTGTTTTGGAGACAGTAAAGTCAAGAAGTCTGCCTGCTGACTTCCTGTTAGAGCCAAACCAACTATAGGTGGTCCTTGACTTACAACCATTCATTTAGCGACAGCAGACTGAAAAAAAGTGACTTAGGGTGGGTTTTCACACTTATGACCGTTGCAGCATCCCCATGCTCACATGATCAAAATTCAGGCAACTGGCAACTGGCATGTATTTAGAATAGAATAGAGCTCGAAGGGACCTTGGAGGTCTTCTAGTCCACCCCCCTGCTCAAGCAAGTGAACCTATACCATTTCACACAAGTGACTGTCTAGCTCTAGTGACTCTAGTTGCTCCTTAAAAGCCTCCAGTGATGGAGCGCCCACAATTTCTGAAGGCAAACTGTTCCACTGGTTAATTGTCTTCCCTGTTAGGAAGTTTCTTCATAATTCCAGGTTGCTTCTCTCTTTGGTCAGTTTCAACCATTATTTCTTGTCTTGCCCTCTGGTACTTTGGAGAATAAGTTGACCCCCTTGTTCTGTTTTAGAATCAGAGACATCGAAGCGAGGCAGGAGTAACAAATACAACTTCTTTATTGAGATCACAAACAGAACAGAACAGCAAACAAAATGGCGCTGGTACTTTTATACTTCCCTTGCAGGTACAGCATCAGCCTATCAATGCAAGGCTAGTCTCCCACCTTGCACATGCTCACAAGGCTAGACACAGCCTGTCTGGTCCCGGGCAACCACATGGTCTACCCGGACCTTCTACAGCCTCCTGAGCCAGGACATAACACTCTCCCCCCTTGGATAAAACAATAAGTGAATACTTACTGTTTTATAGCAGCATACATATACATGTGTTCAATTAAGCATGTTGTTATTTCTAAACACAGTTATGCCTGCACGCAGGCAGACCCAGTCATTACATTTCTCATATTTACACGAATACCACATATTGTTTAATACTATCAAACAAAACACCCCAACTCTGAGTGTGCCCTGAGTTCAAGAGAACTATTAAGCCTCCCTTACATACATTCTATTTTTTCACAAGACTATTAGGCCTGTCCTGGAATTGACAAGAACCTTACATAGTCTTGTAAATGCTTGGAGGGACCCCTTGCTCGCTCTGATCTTCTTAGAGCTGTTGTGGGCACTTGGCCTGCGAGCTTGCCTGCCAGGCTTGGCAGACCGGGACATAGATGCCCCCTTGAATCCGGTGACCCTCCATCGTACTGACTGGCTGGAGCCTGTAACCCCAGACCAGAGTTCCTTGGTGGGGTGGAATTCCCCGAGTCCACAATGGACCCCTCTTGGGAGCACTGTCCCATGAGTCCAAGACAAGCAGATGGAGAAGCCTGTAGTGCCGGTTGACTGGCCAAATCCATAGACCCAGTGCCTGAGTCAGGAGCTGCCTCGTAGGCAGAACCCCCTTCTGGAGCCAGTGTATCCCCACTTTTGCGGAGAGACTGTGGTCCATGATCGTAATCGTGGTCTTCCTCCCCCCCAAGAGCAGAGCCAGGAGTGGAAGTGTTGCTGGGAAGCCTCCAGCGTAGTTGATCGATGTGCCACCTTAACACACGACCATCGTCCAAGGCCTCTTCGTATGACAGTGGCCCAGAGACCTTGCATACCACTGCGGTCACCCAGAGATGTCCAGGTCCTGTAGTCTCCTAGGTGCCCATGGCTATGACACCT